AATTTTGTATTAGAATTGTTAAGAATTATGAAGTTAAAGAATCAATAAATGATTATATACGAAAATGTTACAATAGAAGGAAAAGTATATTATATATTATATATTATATATTATATATAAGTCGATTATAATTATATTGAATAAGTCAATTATAAGATTATAATATTTGTACAGGTTAGAATTGAAATTAAAATTATAAATAACTTTTAACATGATATGTTTTATTTAAATGTCTGTATGTTATTATTTCTTTAATTGTTGAAAATTATATTAATTATATTAGTAATTATTTGATTAAATCTTGCTTTAGGTGACTAAAAATTATACACTGCAATCTCGATGAATTGAAGCCAAAATGCAAGTTTTAATATAAAAATTCACAACACAAACGCAAATCTAAGAGCTATTGATTTAAATTTTTACCTGAGAACTTTCGGATTGTACTTCTTTCTGAATAATTTTTCTGGATAATACTCTTTTCCATACAGATGCGATGTGCTTCGTTCCGCCATATTTGTCGTTTAAAACTCGATCATGAGAAATATCGATTACGTTCGAGAATCGTAGAAAGCTTATTTCGCCGTGTAATGGCGCTGTAATCTTTAACTAATTTAAATTCAATACGAGCACGAAATGTTAACTTGGAATAAAAAATAAAAAACTCTGGTCTAAATCAAATACACAAAATTCATATGAAATTCTTTAAAAAGAACAAAAATATTCATACACTAGATAAAAAAATTGTCAATACTTTAAACTGTTATAATTTCGTGAAAATAAATTGTAGAACAATTATCTTGATTTTATTTTAAAGACTGTAGTCTCCACTTCAACGATATTGAGTTTGTTCTATTCAAAGATATTTATTTTTACATCAAGCAGCAAATGTAAAAGTAAGAATATTTTTCTTCTCGACAATTGTAAAAATTCAAACATCTCGCCAAAGAGAAGTTTTTCCATCGCTGAACAATTTTTTTTCACGATCAGATTAATTATGATCTTGAAAATTGAAATCTTCCCTTTATAATGAGCTCTTAAAACTAGCTGTACGATTTGTTTTTGCCATTTTATTGAATTAAACAATAATTCATTAATTTTTAACGAGTTATAAATGATCTCGTAATGCAAGTCATTGAATTCGTCTTAACAAATGACTTC